TATATATATACTTTTTTTTACAGAATTTGAAGCAGGCGAAACCAGAACTATTCCATTTGAGGAGTTCTGGGAAGAACACGTTTACATTTAACTCAGTAGTAAAATGTACATATTTTTGTACAGTTTTGGGTGTATTAATGCTCTGACTATGTTGTTCTTTAAGTAAATTGTCTTTTTAGAGTCTGTATACTCAAATTAACAATTAATAGATTACTGAACTGTCAATAATTGATTATTCCGATTAATCATTTCAGCCCTTATTTCTTTCTGTGGACATGTAACGAACATAATTCAACATAATCCTCCTGTTTTTCATTGAATCCTGCATGATGATCTTGTGTCAGCCTGTTTACATTGAAAGGAAGTCAGAGACATGGAGAGTCCAAACGGGAATGGGATTTTTACTTCACCAAAATGCAATACCAAAGAGCGCCACCAGGGGGCAGAATTTAGCTGCAGAAAAGATGCTCTTTGTCAGAACGTCAACAGTTTACATGATTAGAAGAAAGGTTCTGCAGCCGGTTCCGGTTCAAATGAAGCCATGTCAGGTCCTGGTTCTGGTCCAGTTGAACCAGAACACGGTCCAGTTGAAGCTGTGTTCTGGTTCTGGTTTCAGGGTATCTGGCGGTGAGCTCTTTGACTTCCTGGCCCAGAAGGAGTCTCTAATTGAGGAGGAGGCCACTCAGTTCATCCAGCAGATCCTGGAAGGAGTGAACTACCTCCACACCAGGAAGATCGCCCACTTTGACCTGAAGGTTGGTCCCAGCCCGATCCGACTCGGCCCGACCTGAACTGACCCAGGAGGTGTGGTCACCTGAAGAGGTCACACCCTCTTTTGTGTAATTCAATGTTCGTCATTAGTTTCCCACTGAAGGACAAACAAAGATGTTTTGGTTCACAGCTTTTATGAAGCAAACATCTGAACAGTTAGCAAAGTCTAAAACTTCAAACTAACTTCTTGACTCAAATGATTTATTTAAAACAGTTCATCTCTTCTTTGATTTTCTTGAAACCAGTGAGCTGGATGGATGGATGGATGGATGGATGGATGGATGGATGGATGGATGGATGGATGGATGGATGGATGGATGGATGGAATTGTTTGGTCAGCTGAACGTTACATTTCTTTGGGGTTTGTCGGTTCTGTTTGTGTTTTCTGGATCGTTGTGTGAAAACCTTCCACTCCGCTGTAATCTGGAATAATCCCGCTGTCTGCAGCCGGAAAACATAATGCTGCTGGATAAGAACGTGGCGCTGCCCAGGATCAAGCTCATTGACTTCGGCCTCGCCCACACCATCGAAGCCGGGGTCGAGTTCAAGAACATCTTGGGAACGCCGGAGTTTGTAGGTGAGGCCCAGTTCGATCGGCCCGGTCCGATCGGCTCGGTCCGACCGGCCCGGTCCGATCGGCTCGGTCCGGTCAGACTTCAGACTGACTTCATGTTTCTGCAGATTATCTGTTGATACTTCCCTCATGCTTTTTCAAAGTCTGGCCAGTTTTTCAACGGTTGACTGTTAATATTAGTCTTGAGGAAACTTCAGCTTTTATATTATTTTTCAGCTGGTAGTTTTGCTTTTCGAGCTAAAACCAACGCCTCGGCCTGTCCCAATAAGCAATAAATCAATCCATCTCAACACCAAACTAAATAATTTCCATTTGTATGATGTGTTGTTTGTCTTTCTACCAAAAACTGGATGATGAAAGTCTTCAGTTTGATGCTTTGGTCCCAACCAGCCCTTTTTTTTTGAAGGACAGTTTTGTTTCATAATTCATTTTATTTGTTGTTTCTGTTGTTTTGATTATTTATTTTCATATTTAAATGTCTTCCAGTTCCAGTGTTAAAATTTAAAGTTGATCTTTGAGAATCATATGTATTTTTTTTTCCATTTTATTGCTTGAGATGGTCTCAAAACAACAATATTATTATTTATCTCAATAAGTTTTGGGGCAATTTATCGTCCAACAAAATGTATTATTGTGACAGGCCTGCTGACATATTTACTCTTTATGAAGGCTTTGTTTCTGAGGGATTTATACTTATGAGCTTCAGGAATGAAGTTTATGACATTCTGACCTAGAAAAGTGATTCTGAGGGAAATAACCCAGTTGGCTTGTACTTCGTCTTGTTTTCTGTTTCAGCTCCAGAGATCGTGAACTACGAGCCGTTGGGGCTGGAGGCGGACATGTGGAGCGTCGGAGTGATCACCTACATCCTGCAAGTGAACCGGAGCATCCTGAGCAGAACCGCCTCCAGAACCATACGAGGTGAGCCGGGCAGTGATGTTTGTTTCGTTCCAGGCTGAGCGGGGCGTCTCCGTTCCTGGGGGAGACCAAGCAGGACACTCTGGGGAACATCTCCGCTGTCAACTACGAGTTTGATGAGGAGTTCTTCGGTCACACCAGCCACTTGGCCAAGAAGTTCATCAGCCAGCTGCTGGAGAAAGACAAGAGGTAACGAATGAGGTGCAATATACTCCCCACAGGAAGGTGGCGCTCATGATCTGAGGAGCTTGTTATTCTGTCTTTGTCTCCAAGGAAGAGATTAACAATTCAGGATGCTCTCAACCACCCGTGGATTAAGGTAATCCGCCATCCAGTAGCCTGGAACCATCAGGGTGTGAATGTGTGAATGAATGAATGTAACGTGAAGCGTTTCTGGTATTTTGACTTGATAGAGCGCTACAATAGTCCAGGCCATTCAAGGTTTATGGATCCAGGAAAGCATGTTTAGGATACAAGATCCTTGTTCATGAGATCATTCTAGTTTCCAGAACCTTGGAGACCAGAGTGAAGGCTTAAAGCTTTCATTTGTTCTATCAACTCTCCTTTTGGATCTTCTAGTCCAACGAGCTCAGAGAGGAGAATAAAACCCAAGAGCCAAAGAAACGGGAACGCCGCCAGCTGAAGACCAAACGTCTGAGAGAATACACCATCAAGTGCCACTCCAGCATGCCACCCAACAACACCTATGTGAACTTTGAGCGCTTTGCTCAGGTGGTGGAGGACATTGACCAGATGGAGGGCTCGTTCTTCAGCCTGGCGGCGGCCCACGACTCCCTGCAGGAGGACATCGACGCCTTGGTCTCTATATACAACGAGAAGGAGGCCTGGTACAAGGAGGAGAGCGAGGCCGTGCGGCACGAGCTCTCCCAGATCCGCTACGAGTTCCGGAAGGTGGAGGCGTCCAAGAGGAGCCTGCAGGACGACATGCAGTCCTTCAGCCGCGGCCTGGCCGCCGTCAGCGAGCGCTTCCAGGAGAGGCAGGGCCACTTCGACGCCCTGCAGCTGGAGCTCAGCAACGAGCTGAAGTGGGTGCAGGAGGCGGTGGGCTCCCTCCCAGCAGACGGAGGAGGTGGAGGCTATCCCAACTGCAGCTTCACCACCGTCTTCAACAACGACGTGAACGAAGCTCTTAAGGAGCTGCTCAGCCGCTCCTGTGGAGGAGAACTGCTGTCCGGAATCAACCTGGACCTCACTGAGACCGGGCAGCAGCGCTAAAAACACAGGTCCGGGTCCAGGAGGAGGAGTGGGAGGAAGTCCGGGTCCGGGAGGAGGTGTGAGTCCAGAGTCCTTCCTTCTTTCTTTTCTTCCTTCCTTATTATTTTTTATTGAATAATGGACTCAGTGGACCCAGCTGTGTGAAGCTGGGTCTGATTTTGGGTGGAACCTTCAGTGGAACATGTGGGACCTCTGATGATGTGACGCACTTCGGCCTCATGCTGAGGTTGTGACATCATCACTCTCTTGCCGCTCTGCAGCACTCTGGTCCATCACTGCAGCACTTGTAATCCTGCCTCGCCTCTACTTTCACTAATGACCTCACTAAGAGGCTGCGGCCCGCTGGGCCTTCCTCAGAACTTCTGGGAATCAGAACCACAGATCCAAACAGGATAGCAGACTGTTGGCTAGGCTCATTCCCAGGAACCCAGCAGGAAATGTTATGGTCTAGTTAAAGTGTTCAGCAGAAGGAGAACTTTGTGGTTTCCATCAGTTACTGCAGGAAAACATGTCCAAACTTCAACAGGAGCTTCTGTCTCCTTTAAAGAAGAGAGAAAATCTTCCTAATGACACGGTGGAGGCTCCTTAAGGTCAGATTCGAGGAGCATGTAGCCATGATGCTAACAAACACTCAGTCAGCTAACGCTAACAATCACTGTCAGCTGAAACCTCCATAATACTGACTTAATCCATTACTGCAGCAGAAGAAGCATGCTAAGGTTGTGACCTGAACTGGAACAGCTGCAGAATAACAGAGTTTAAACTTAGCAATGCTGCTGCCAGTCACACGTCAATGAGCCGTGTTGTTCCTCTATTCTGGAGGACCGATTGGGTCCGGAAGCCACTGCAGCAGTAGAAGAAGAAGAAGAGGAAGAAGAAGAAGAAGAAGAGATGATGGAAACAGAAACAGTTACGCTGCTTTCCACTCAGTCAGAGAAAATGAAACCCCAAAAATAGCAAGATGAGCTGCAGAGATACGGTCGGAAATGTTTCTGAGGCCAGGCTTCTCTGCGTCTGGGCCGGCCTGATAACCACTGGAGCGTCTCCTCGTTGCGTCCGCCGGGACTCGACCCGTTTGGGTTGCATTGTGCTGCTCTGAATGAGCTTCAGAAATACAGCTGGCTTAAAGTTTTCACTCCCCTCATTCACATTTCAACCACAAACTTCAAGATCTTTCATTAGGATTAGATGACAGACCAAAACAAAGTAAAACAGTTCATGACTTACGACAAATAAAAGTCTGAAAGCAACACATGGTGGTGGCAGCATTATGCTGTGGGGATCAGCAGGCTGTGCGATTATGGGATGGTTTAAATCTGAGTAAATTCATCCTTTGCTTCCCAATAAGATCTTCAGTCTGTTAGAGTTAAATCTGTTGCAATCAGCAATTAACCAATCAGGTGATAAATTAAAATGAACTCTGATGGCTGATATTATTAAATAGTTTTGGTTGTGTGTGGTTTTTATTTCCATTTTATTTATTGTTCTTGGTTTTCGTATTTTATTTTTGGATATTTAAAATATTTTCCAGTTCCAGTCTGATGTGTTCTTTACAAAATAAAAGTTTATTAATCTTTTCAGAGGGAACAATTGCATTATTAAAAATATAATACTTGAAAATGATGTGAAAATAATATTATTATTTATCATAGTAATTAATGGGAAGTTTACTGCATTCAACTATAGTTTTTTTATATATAGAAGATAAGTAGTGTTTGCTGTCAGAATAACACATCATATTTTATTGTTCAGTTTCTAATGTGAGAAATAGAAATAAATACTGAGGGAGAGCTATGGAGCTAAATTGGGGCCATAAACAGTGGCAACCCCAGAAAGTTTTCCACGTAGTTGACCAGACAGGTTCAGTAAACATTTACAGGGGACACAGCTAAAAAATAATCATATGATTTTATTAATTTATTTTATTATGACATTTACTTTTATGTTTCCATTGAAGAAGATGACTCTATATCCCTTTCTATGACATGAACATAATTCTGTGGGGAAAATGAATCCGAAAAAAAAAAGAAGTTCAAAACTACTTTTCAGATTCAAGTTTTTTTTTTTTTTTTTCCAGTTTAAACTATTTTTAAACAAACTTTGTGGTCCCCATTTAACTCCACATAAAACAGTACATTCTGCATTTTACCGTCATTTATCAACACATTTCTAAGTATTGAGCCAGCTGTTTTCTTCCATAAAAAACAAAACTTTCCAAATCACTCTAGACAGTTTTGTGCTCATATTCATCTTTATATTGAATTTGTCTGGAAATCCAAAATTCATCTTTAAAGTTGGAGTTGTTGCATGAAATACATTTGAATCTGTATATTTAGATTTAACTGGACATTAGTGTGTCTGCCATGAGAGGTGGGAAGCAGACAGACAGGCAGACGGATCCAGGCTCGGACAGACCGTCAGACTGCGGACCGGCTTGCGGGGCTCTGAGAGCGGACTCAAGGCGGAGGAAGCTCCGGGAGAGGCGGAGACCTTATCGGAGACCGAGCTGCTGCTGCCGCTGCTGCTGCCAATGTGAGATGAAGCTCAGCCGGTTTGTTGTGTAAGCTTCACGCAGAGAGGACGAAGAGGAAGAGGAGGAGGAGGAGGCCTTCTACCCCAACGGTGAGTGAGCTTTAGTGTCGGAAGTTGGCTTCCGATTCGGCGCTGCAGTAAAGGGCTGCTCCGCTGTTTTTAAGGACTCTAGACTCATTGACTTTGCTGCTGTTGCTGCTGCTAGAAAGAAGGATTTGCGGTGACGCTTCTTTGTACACTTAGGATGCAGCAGTTTGTGATCTGGAAAGGTTTGCTTTATTTGTGAAACTGTAAGAAAGAAGAATTTTAGAAGTATTTTTGACAACCTCACCCAGACAAACAGATACACTTACATATTAAAAACTAAATGTATCAGGGTAAAAAAAAATAAATACAATCTAGTCTAATCTTTAGATTATCAAAATGAGAATCAGATTTTGGGGGAAAAATAAGAAAAAAGAAAACAATAAAAGAAAATTAAACCTTTGACATAAATCAGAATAAATTTTACATCTATGAACTTCCTGTGTCTCAACAAATCTGACTAAATTTATGTAAATTTATGTTTTTAAACCAGAGTCAATACATTTATTATGGCGTTTAGTGGAACATTGCTGCAGGATCTTATCCCCTACTCCAACATCTCTCTGCCTCTGACCATACAACCAGAGAGAAATTTAAAGAAGAGCAGCAAAGCAAATGGTGAGATGGATTAGGAGAGCTTGTCAACAACAGATGGCGTCACCCAGTGCATGTTATTGTGGAATATTTTCTCTACTGCCCAGATATTGAGCTGTTAGCATGTTATGCTAACATGAGATGCTGCAATTCTTCAGCACCACCATCCACAACAACTCTCTGGAAATACTCTAATAATATTAGTTACGACAACATTTCATTAACTTGGGGATAAAGTGTTTTTCAATCTAAGTGAAGTAAAAAAAATACCGGTGTGGCCCTTTATCTACAGTCGGAAGCCAACTTCAGCTTAGGCTGTTAGCCATTAGCAGCCGCTGCTAGCTCGGCTCAGCACTGCTGTGATGCAGCAGATAAGCAGGCTAACTCTGACCCAAAAAGGTCTGCTTTCATAAGGTGGGACACTTTGGACCGGTCTGCATGCTGGTAACGTATTTTAAATCATTTTATTTGAGCTCCACTGAAAGGTGTCACCTCTCTGTTTGGCTGTTTTCTTTCTGTGTTCCGCCTGTTTTAATGTGAAGCAGCTAGCTACCGTTAGCAGCAGCAGCAGCAGCGGCGGTTGGTTAAAACTCTTATGCTTGGTTCCGTTAAAGACCAAACTGTCAACAAACTGGTACCGTTCTGGTTCTCAACAGAACCCAGAGAGGCTGGTAGCGCCAGTGGGCAGACAGCAGGTCTGTACTGGGAACCAGTCTGGGTCGGAGCTGTCAGATTTGTGCAACTGTTAGATGCTAGTCAGAGGAACCCGGGTTCTGGACGCTGCTCAGCTGGGTCATGGGTTCCTATCTGAACCAGAACCGAGATGCAGATGAATTGCCGTTGGACATATTTGTTTATCTGTGTTTATGAGGGATTTTCCGTTTGTTGGGGAGCAGCTGGAAAACAGACGCGCATCTGCGGAAATGTGAAAGTAGATGTCGCAACAAAACCTGCGGGAAAATGAGAAATGTGGGAGAACCGACGGATTTTACCGGTGGAAAAGAAGCAGAAGGTGCACCAGGAGCAGAAAGTACTCAGATCTCTGACCTAACCCTGTCAGTGGTGTTGCATAATTAGCTCCCTGACAGCGTTTTCCTCCCTGAGCCTTCGGCGCTCTGACGGATCCTTCCTCAGCTGCTGTCTGGGAAAGAAAAACCTTAACATCAAATACATCCGAGAGACGAAGAGTGGATGAAGATCCTAGGACTTCAGAGGCCAAGCCAACACCTTAAACTGGGCGCTGTGCTTCTCACATTCCTCTTTAACCATTTTGTTCTTGGCAGGAGGGTGAATTATTTTTGTTAAAAATCAATAAAGGTCTGAAATGACCTTCACCAATGCTTTGGTACAATATTCACACTCCTTTTCTCCTTATTATTCAGATAATTAATCGATTAATTGGATTTTAAAAAATTGTCACATTTTACAGATTTTTCATTTAACCACTTAATCTTATATTATAAAATACAAATTAATTTTTAATAAAAAACCCTGAATGTGAATAACAGCATTCCTTTAGTTAAATCTTGAACATTTGCTTCTACAACTAAAAAATCCTTCGAACATCAATGTGTGAAAATCTCATCAATACAGTGTAGGAGTGATCTGGGATTGATTATATGGATTAACTAATAATTAAATATGATTAATCTCAGATTTTACAGAACGTGAAGCTAAAACTACCACTGGAGCCATGGGTTGAAAAATAAACACAAAGGTTTATTTTTAATCCTAAATGTTTATATTATTGTACAGTTTTGGATTGTTGTGTAAGCTTCATTTATTTTCTTTATTTTTGAGTTTTTATACTCCAGTTAACAATTAATCAATTACTAAATTAATCAGTCAATCATGATTAATCGTTTGATTACTAATTTTTCTGAATAAATTTCAGGTTTTTTCAGTGTTTGCTGAGGTTTCTGCTGTAGAAGGCGGATTTATTTAAATGCTGTTTTCGCCTGTCCCACAGTCCAGCGCTACCTGACCTTTGACCTCTTTGTCAGAAACAGAAACCTTTGTCCTGCAGCACTGAGCCGGACTGAGTAAAGCTGCTGGGAAATGAAAGTTTTCTGTTGACAAACCTAAAAAAAGGTTTTCTGTTTACAATGTAAACAGAAACTTTCATTGTTTGTTCAGGAAACGATGAGAAGGTGTTTCTGTAATCATTTATCATTTACTTTGATAAATTGTGTTAAAAGCTCTCCATAGTAGCTGTATTTCCATTGACCGTAGAAAAGCGCAAATTGGAATTAAGAAAATAAATTAGCTTAATTTATTGGTGGAATAACACCAACTTTGAAAAAACTCACGTTTTTCGGTCAAACCTTTTTGCGATAGGATGAGGTGGTTTATTTTGGCCGTATTGGAAAGAGTTTATTTCACAAAGCTGCAGTGGAAACAGTTTTGTGGCATCAGGAGTCATGAAAACAGAAACAACAAAGAAGAAGACAGGAAGCAGCGGGAGGATGATGGTGCAGCAGCAGCAGCGTGATTTTAATGACTTATCACCTTAACAAACTTATTCCTGTGTGATTTTTTTTTTCTAATTACAGAAATTGCGAAATTGTAGTTTTTGTCATTAGTGGAATAATGACAAAGTATTGGAAATGCTGTTAGTGTTGAGATTTAGTTTCAGTAATTTCTCCATTTACTGAAGGAGAATATAATTACATGTTAGTAACTGAGAATGTGATTAAATGAATTTACAAATATCACTTCTCTATGTGACTGAGGTCCTAAAGAATCGCATCACAAACGGGAATGTTTCTCTCAGCCATACCATCACCTAAAAAGAAGTAATTACTAGTTTGTTGTTATAAAGTTCGGTGATAAATGTTCGCTCCTCTGATCAGGCGCCTTCCTGTAAGGTTGATCGTTGATGCCGTGTCTGCAGGTCGGATGGCTCCAGAGTGAGCGGCCATGGCGCTGATGATCCCCCCGGTGAAACTCAAATGGCTGGAGCACCTGAACAGCTCGTGGATCACGGAGGACAGCGAGTCCATCGCCACGCGGAACGGCGTGTCGGCGCTCTACGCCAAGCTGCTGGCCAACAAGGAGGCGGTGCTGCTGCCGCAGCAGGTGCTGTGCCTCAAGGGCCCGCAGCTGCCGGACTTCGAGCGCGAGTCGCTGTCCAGCGATGAGCAGGAGCATTACCTGGACGCTCTGCTGGGCAGCCAGCTGGCCCTGGCCAAGATGGTGTGCTCCGACTCGCCCTTCGCCGCCGCGCTGCGGAAGCGTGTCCTGGTGCTGCAGCGCGTCTTCTATGCG